AGAATACTCATATCAACGAGTTGCAACTTTTTTTCCGGAAGCCGATCTCCAAAGAACTCTAGGGTTAAGCGTGCTTGGCCTGGAGCAATTTGGGATGGGTAACCGACCGGGAAATTCTTCCCGGGTGCACACGAGTGAGGACAAAGTGTGCAGAAAAGACATGTGTTCCTCTGTGAGGGCAGTCTATGACCTATAAAAGCTATCAGATGTAAGCGGGCCCGGCCTGGGGGAAGGCGGGTCGTTACAGATCTTCATTAACTTCAGCCCAAACCGGTATCTTCAAATCAGGACCATCCGATAACTGAATATTTCATCCTCTATCTAAACTTCCTCTGTTTCTTCAGCAATAGCAGATAACTGAACCCTCACAATGCCCCCCTCTTCAAGACCCATGCCCTCATGGGTGAGAGGAAGGAAATACCTTGGTAATGAATGCAGCATCCTCCCAGGTGGCTGCTGAGAGAGGTAAATTTTCCCAATGGATCTTCCACTGAACTATAGGCTCGTTGTTCTGAGGTATGAGCCATCGGTCCAGCACTGCTACGGGTTGGGAGACAATGTTACCCTCAGTGTCAGTTAGCGGCAGACCATGTTCAGGAACAACTTTGGGTCCAATGTGTTTCTTCAGCTGGCTCACATGGAAAATAGGGTGGATGGAGGATGTCACTGGTAGCAAGAGTTTATATGCCATCGGTCCAATTCGTTCCAGAACTCGAAATGGACCATAGTACTTACAATGCAGCTTCAGGGAAGAATGTAAACCTAGGGAAGTGTGGCGATACGGTTGCATCTTTAAATAAACCATATCACCCACTTACCGTACTCTTTCACTACGATGCATATCTGCAAAGTGTTTCATGCGAGCTTGAGCTTTGAGGAGGCTAGATTTAACAGCAACAGTAACAACAGCTCTTTCTTCTTCTTTGTTCCGGGCATCAGCAAAAGGAGAACTTGGAAGCAGGGATTCAGCCAATAGAGGTGGAGGTACTCCATAAAGAGCTTGGTAGGGAGTCATCCCCAAGGCAGTATGAAATGTTGTATTGTACCATCACTCAGCATGTGCTAACATAGATTTCCATTTCTTTGGTTTAGTGAACGTCATGCAACAAAGATAATTCTCCAAACATTGGTTAACTCTTTCGGTTTAACCATCGGTTTGTGGGTGATACGCACTGCTAAAATGTAATTTAACTCCAGCTTCCTCAAAAATATCCTTCCATGTGTTGCTAGTAAAGATTCGGTCCCTGTCACCCACAATGACCGATGTCATTCCATGGAGCTTGTAATAGTTTTCCATAAACTAAGTTAAGACTTGTTCTGCAGTGAAAGGGTGGCTCAAGGCAACAAAGTGTGCATACTTAGTGCGTCTGTCCACAATAACCCAAATAACATCTTTGCCCTCAGACTTAGTAAGACCTTCAACAAAATCCATAGTAATATGGGTCCAAGCCATATCAGGGAGAGGAAGTGGCTGCAACAGCCCAAGTGCCAAATTGTGCACAGCTTTGTTCTTCTAACTGGGCAGTGTTTAACAAAATAGATGATTTTTTTTTCATTCCCGGCCAATAGAAGAGTTGTTTAGCTCTCTGGTAAGTTGCCCTCTCACCAGAATGTCCACCCAAGGCTGAATCATGAAAAGAATGTTGCAAGCGAGTTCTCAAATCAGTGCTAGTACCAACAAGAATTTGATTTTTATACCTCAAAATACCTCTAGTTAGTGTATAGGGAGGGTGGGCTTGGGAATTGATCCTGAGCTGTGATTCCAATTCTTGGCATTTAGTATCTGTGGCATAACTGTCCACCACATTAGTTATCAAAGTAGGAATAATCAGAGTGGTTGCAAACAACTGGCCATTAGGAGGGACCTGAGATAAAGCATCAGCAGCTTTATTTTCCTTGCTTTTTTTGTATTCAATTTTATAATCATAGCTCGAAAGCTTGATGAGTAGTTTATGTTGGACCCCTTCTGTAATGCGTTGTTCATTGATGTATTTCAGGCTAGCTTGGTCTGTTCTGATGATGAGTAATGTTCCACAAAAATAGTGTTTCCATTTCTTGAGAGCTTCAAGTATTGCAAGAGCTTCCTTATCATAAGTAGAGAGTGCTGCTGCTGTAGGCCCAGTAGCTTTGCTAATATAAGCTAGAGGCTGACCCCCCTGCATCAAGACAGCCCCAATCCTAGTTCCACTTGCATCTGTCTCCAAAATGAATGGCTCAGAGAAATCAGGCATGGCTAGCACTGGGGCATTAGCCAGTTTAAGTTTGATAGTCTCAAAGGCTTGCTGTTGCTCCTCTTTCTAGACAAATCCATTCTTTTTCAATGCAGTGAACAGGGGTTTACAAATAATGCCAAAGTCCTTAATGGATTTCCGGTAATAACCAGCTAATCCAAGGAATCCTCTAAGTTCTGTGACAGAAATGGGCACAGGCGAAGCTGCAACAGCATGCACCTTTATTACTGTCAGTTGCCACTCCCAGATTACTGATAATGTATCCTAAGTACTCCACTTGCTGCTGTCCAAAAACACATTTACTAGGTTTAGCAGAGAGGTGATGTCTCAGAATTTGGAGCACTATATCCACATGAGTCACATGATCAGAGAGAGAATTGCTATATATGAGAATATCATCAAAGAAGACTAAGACAAATTTGCGCAAGTGTGGGGCTAATATAGTGTTCATAAGAGCTTGAAATGTGGCAGGGGCGTTTGTAAGACCAAAGAGCATGACAAGGTATTCAAAATGACCCATGTGAGTGCTGATGGCCGTCTTATAAATATTAGTTGGGTGCATCCTAATTTGATGGTAGCCAGAGCGCAGGTCAATTTTTTGAGAAGTATTGTGCTCCCTGCAACTTGTCGAGCAAATCTTGAATCACCGGGATAGGATACTTGTTTTTGACAGTGGAAGCATTTAACTGTCGATAATCAATGCATGTGTGGATGCCGGTAGAGGTATCCGCGCGCGGCGTTTCGTCCCTGTACGTGTGGAGAGACAACGTCGTGAGTCTACACAGCTTGGGACAATTCACTCAAAATGACTCGCCAGTCACTCGGGCAAAGTTAATTAGAAGATCACAACAAAAAGTATCTAGACTCTGTTTGTGGAGCTTAATTAAAATTCTGAGAAACAATTGGTTATTGTAGCCAACAATTTTATAAATTGGAAAAATTAAGAAACCCGGCTTCTAGTTATCTGGATTATGTTACAATAGCTTGTCAGAATAAAAATGAAAAGCATAACTGTTTGGATTAACTTTTGATTATGGGAGAAGCTCCCCAAACAGACCCCTAACACCTTGTGGTGAAACGTTGAAGGTGTGATCATTGGTGTATGATTAGGATGTGCTTGTCTGATTATAAGGGCGAGTGTATGCACGTGTATATATTATACTGTGTACGAAAAACAATATTAATTGGAAAATACTAAAAAATAATTAGGAAAAACATATAGGAGCTAAATAAATTGTGTAGGTTTTGAGGTATTTGTTTTTGGGACGAGCAAATCCTCCTCTCATTAGCCTACGTTCCATTCTGTCTTTTTATATGTAGACCTTATATGGAACAATTTCAGATTAAAAAAATTAGTTGGTTTTTTCCGGCTTCGCAAATTGATGAATCTGAATATGTTAGTACGGTGATACTACATAACACATTTTTTTTGGCGGCTAAAACATATTTTTCCTAGCAGTCAGACTTCCCGCCAGCAATTAAACGTCAATGAAAATTAACGATCTTCGCTAGTGGCATCCGACCGCTAGGGAAAATCGATTTGTGCTGGCGGGCGACAACGCAACAGCAAGTGAAAATCAATTTTGACATTTTCATTTTATTTTTTAGTGCGAAAATAAAATAAAAAATATTTTGACAACTATGCATCCTAATTGACAATTGACAATTTAGGTAACTTTTCAGATTAAATTTACACGTATGTGATTTGTAGGATACAAACACAAAACCTCTCTCTCCACACATGTGTTACATTACCATCTCACTATAAAGCACTTGTTATATCTTTTAGAATGCTATTGTTTTGATTTCCATTGTTCGAAACTTAAAATGCTTATTTGCCTCTCTAAATGATTTTAAATAAAAAAGTCATGAACTACAAAATTGTAGAATCTCGCAAAGCTCTACAACTTTGACACAGATCATGTGTCCATTGGAGGTTATTTGAATCATATATCTAAATTTTGTAAAAAAGATCTTGAATATTATAACGAATATTTTGAACCCTAAATGATCTCAAATGGAAAACTATTCAACTAAAAATTTATCCGACTTTTTATGAAAAAGATAGATACGACAAATACATTTTTTTTTGTAAAATTGATTTTGATTGGCGTACATCTTAAGCGCCCGCGAGTGAAAATCAATTTTCACTGGCGGATGCTTATGTTATCCGCCAGTTAACATAATGTGATTTTCATTGGCAACAATATTTTGGTCCGCCTGAAAAAAAATAAAAGAGAAGTGCCAAGAAAAATCATTTTTTAGTAGTACCATTTGGAATGAAGCATTTTGTTTTCGTTTTGGATGAAATATAAAATTTGGAAATAAAATAATTAAAATATAAATTTTGAATCCATTGTGGATTTGTGATCTAGCTAGAGCTATGCCAAACAATATATCATATCGAAGCTGGCGGCATCCAATAGTTTAGGACCGATCAGTGCGATAAAGACAAAAATGAATACAATATAACTGAAATATAATATTTATAGAACTAAGAATTACATTAAGATTACATGCTAAAAAGTAGGGTTATACTCCCTCCATACCATGTTTTTACTACCATTAGAAAAGCTGATATGCATTTCTAGATGAAGCCTAGATTTTGTGATGGACTTGCCGGGAACATAATAGACTTTATTTTCAAAATACTACACTAATAATAAAGGAAACTATTCTAAACTTGAGGTGACGTTCAACAAAATGACCTAGTTCGGGACTGACGGGGCTCGAACCCGCAGGTTCCGCCTTGACAGGGCGGTGCTCTGACCAATTGAACTACAATCCCCGCGGGGCGTATGGCATAGTGTCGCATAAAACCCGAAATGGGGCGTGGCCAAGTGGTAAGGCAGCGGGTTTTGGTCCCGTTACTCGGAGGTTCGAATCCTTCCGTCCCAGATCCCCCATCAGTATTCGTATAGAACTAGACCGGATCTTTCCTGAAATATAGCCCAGGATGATGGTGTCATTCTCTAGGCGAACGCGGAACATTCCGTTGGGTAGGGCTTCCATAACTAAACCCTCGAAAGTAATTTTTGCTTCTCTCGGGGTTTTTTTTCTCTCCTATTTTTCTTTTCTGTCATATTTTTTTTCTCCTATTTTTTTTACCAACATGTAAAATCAAGTTAAACTTCTAAATCTCGCAACATTGCCTATTAATATACGTTAATTAGCTGTAGTTTATTTTGGTTTTCCGTTGCAACTTGTAAAAGTTAAATTTTAACTAGTATATTTGTGGGAATGATATATCATATATTAATATATTTTCTTAATTTTTCTAAATTTATTTATAATTTTTTGATTGACAGGCAAATATCTGTAAAGAGTTTTAAAATCAGTGTCCGCTAGTAAGCCTGCGGCATGCAGTGCAGGTGCTACCTAAGACGAAGTAATCGGGACAAGGAGAGCCCGCAGCGGTGTCTTCATAACAGTGACGAGCCCGGTCTTCTCTGAAAAGTCGACGGCGGCGGCCTTCTCGTCCTCGGCCACCGGCCACCACTCGAACTGTTCGACCAACCTGCCGACGAACAAGTGCAGGACAGAGACGGCGAAGCTTGCGCCGGGGCACGCCCTCCGGCCTGCCCCGAACGGCATCATCCTGATCTCCGCGCCACCGCAGGAGACGGCGTCCACCATGGCGCCCTCCCCGCCTTCCATGAACCGCTCCGGCACGAACTCGTCCGGGTCCGTCCACGCCGTTGCGTCACGGCCGATCTCCGCTACCGCGTAGTTGACAATGGCTCCCTTGGGGATCACGTAGCCACCGGCGCCGAGCGGGACGTCGCGGTCCACCGTGTGCGCCAGCAGGTAGTGCGCCGGCGGGTGGAGGCGAAGGGATTCCTGCACCACCGCCTTCAAGTACGGCGATGGCGAGACGCCCACGCCGCCGCTGTTGGTGGTCTTGGCGATGTCGTGGCGGAGCTTCCGCTGGATGTCGCTGTGGTGCACCAGGCGCGCCATGGTCCACTCCAGCGCCGTCGACGTCGTCTTCGCGGCGGCGTTCATGAACTCCCAGCACAGGCTCACCATCTCGTCCTCGCCGAGCTCGAGCTCCAGGAGCGTGTCCACGTAGCAAAAGGTAGCTGAGTCAGCAACATCTCCGTCGGCTTTCTCCCGCCGGAGCCGGCGAACGGAGATGAGAGCCGCGACAATGTCACGGTGACTCCTCTGGAGGCCGGAGAGCTTCCACCACCGGTGCAAGTACGGCACCATCAGCACCGCGGGCACGAGGTGGAACGCGCCGAGCTCGACGGTGAGAGCGAGTATGTCGGCGTGGGCACGTCGGAGATCACGGAGCACAGCGTCGTGCTCGCCGTCGCGCACCCACTCGCCGAAGCAGAGCACGGCGAAGAAGGAGAAGACCCCGTGCCGGAACGCATCGGTCGGCGCGACAACGCCGGTGGCGCCGGCTCCGGCGCGCGCCTCCAACTCCAGTGTCGCTACAAGCCTGTCCACCGACCGACGCCGCAGCGCCTCGGTGGCAGCAAGGCATGAGCAGATGTTGCTGCGGAGGCGGCGCCAGCGATCGCCGTACTCCGCGGCGTTCACGCCGTGCCGGTTGAAGCTCAGCGCGCGGGAGGAGGCGAATGGCGACGGCGGGCGGTGCGCGAGGGCGGCGCCCGCGAGGACCAGGGTGCGGTGCGCGAAATCACGGCCAATGACGAAGACGGCCGGGCGGTTGCCGGCCCAGAGCGTGACGACCGGGCCATGCGAGCGCCGTAGCCGGCGGAGCGCCGACGGGAGGAACGCCATGGTCGGAGCGTGGAGGAAGAGGTTGCCAATGAGCGGCAGCCTCACTCGCGGCCCAGGTGGAAGCCGCTCGTCGGCGTCATTGTTGACGTAGCACAGCACGGCGATACTGGCTGCCACGACGAGGCAAGATGATGATACGAGGAGCAGGAGAAGCGCCATAATCGATAGTACCGCCGTGCTGGAGCTGCGTGTTCTCCTTTTATACAGCGCAGGTGACGTCAGGGGTGTTTAGATACAGGCTGTAAAGGGTTGGCGTGTCACATCGGGTATTATATAGGGAGTCGCATGGGGTGATCGGGTACTAATAAAAAAACTAATTACAGAATCCGTCAGTAAACAACGAGACAAATTTATTAAGCCTAATCCGTCATTAATAAATGTTTACAGTAGCACTACATTGTTAAATCACGGAGCAATTAGGCTTAAAAGATTTATCTCGCAAATTAGTCACAATCTGTGTAATTAGTTATTTTTAAGCCTATATTTAATACTTCATGCAGGTGTTCAAACGTTTAATGTGATAAGCCGTAAAATTTTTTGTGTGGGAATTAAACTGGGCCTAAGCTAGAATTATAAAACGATTTTATTACACTCTTCGTTCCAAGTCTGACTAAGTTTGTAAATAATATGTATATATATATATATATATATGTATATATATATGTATATATATATATATATAGGGTGAGACTATTCTACACCCGGGGTATAGAATATATACCTCCCTCCCTCTCAAAGGCCACAACCACCTCCCCCTCCTTTCCAAGGCCCAATATATGTGTATATATATATATATGTATGTATGTATATATATACATATGTATGTATGTATATATGTGTGTATATATATATATAGGGTGAGACTATTCTACACCCGGGGTATAGAATAGTTATTCTATACATCCCTCCCTCTCAAAGGCCACAACCACCTCCCCCTCCTTTCCAAGGCCCAAAAACCACCTCCCACCTCGGTCAAACGCTGGTCAAAGCCCCCTCCCGCCGGTCAAAGCTCAGTCAAACCCTTCTACTAACTCCCCTCACCACCCACCTCTTCTCAGCTCTCGTCTCGCGAAACTGTGTAGTAACGCGACGGTCACCGTGTAGTAACACTGTGTTTTACGTGCAGTAACAACGCTCAAATATAGTTGACATATAGTCATGATGGATCTACTTTTGATAAGCATTTTTTTTCTAGCATCATGGTGCAAACAATTTTAAAAAACCATACATGACATCAGAGATATTGTTCTTAAAAGCTTTTCTTTTTGGAATTTGACTCTCCACAAGTAGTAATACAATAGCATCACTTGTTACTAGTGTACGTTACTACAGTTCTATCACAACGTTACTATAAGAGTCTAGTAAAGATAATAAGCTTTGCAGTAACAAAGTGTCTTGCATTTCTTGAATAGTATTACTACATAAACTAGGAATTGAAACAAAAATATATGGGTTAAACCCTCACATGCTAACCGTATACTTGTTACTACACAAAAGTAGAAGTGTTACTACATAATAGGTGCATGTTACCACTTCCAAGTAGCTATGTTACTGAATGATAAATACAGTGTTACTATGTCATTTTTACGAGATGAAGATCGAATAGGTGGGCTATAGGTAAAGTCTGTAGGTGGCTTTGAGCGATGTCTGATTGATGTAGGAGTGTTTTGAACAATTTTATACATTTGGTAAAACCATGTTACTGCATGTATATACCCCTGTTACTGCATGTGGAGGGCTAAAGTTCAAAATGTCAATCTTTGAAAAGCAATATCTCACAATATATGTATTATTTTTTTAAAATCGTTTCCACCATGATGTTATAGTGTTACTGCATGTGGAGGATTAAACTTCAAGATGCATCTATATACTCCCCTCCTCAAGAACCGTTCTTCCTCCCTCTTCTCAAGAAAATTGGTCTCCTCCCTCCAATATAGCGTTACTGCATGTGTAAGATGTGACAGTAATATTGTGGTGAATTACAGTAAATTAGGAATTGAAACAAAAATATATAGGTTAAAAGTCTCATATGCTAACCATATACTTGTTACTGCACAAAAGTAAAAGTGTTACTGCACGGAAGGTACACGTTACCACGTGTTTATGCAGTAACACTACCCAAAAAATATAGTAAAACGCGGTGTAGTAACATCGTGATGTGATTATAGTAACGTACAACAGACAAGTAGTAACAAGTAATAGTTTAGTATTACTATTTGTGGAGAGACAAATTGCAAAAAAGTGAAGCTTTGAAGAACAATATCTCCCAAGTGATGTAAGGTTTTTGAAAACCGTTTGCACCATGATGCTAGAAAAAAAGAGCTTATCAAAACTAGATCCGTCATGACTATATTTCAACTAATTTTAACGCTGTTACTGCACGTAAGACACAATGTTACTGCACAGTGGTCATCGTGTTACTGCACCATCCTGGGACGAGAGCTGAGAAGAGGTGGGTGGTGGGGGGAGTTAGTAGGCGGGTTTGACCGGTGGGAGGGGCCTTTGACCGAGGTGGGAGGTGTGTTTTGGGCCTTGGTAAGGAGGGGGAAGTGGATGTGACCCTTGGGAGGGAGGGGGTTATAGAATAGCTATTCTATACCCGGGTGTAGAATAGTTTTTCTATATATATATATATATATATAATTAATTAATTAATTACTAGCAAAAATGCCTGTGCGTTGCAACGGGTAAAAAAAGATCCAATGACAATATACACTTTTCATGTATAACCATATAAATGATAATATGTTTGTATGGATTATTGTAGCTAACACAATTAGAAATATGGAACATCTTCAATGTAATGACCCAACCTCGACGAAGGTAACCTTAACAACGCTTGCTTTATCCAAAATAATTGGATTATTTAATGTGACGGCATCCATATAATTTAAAATACTCTTTCAGCCTTATTCTTGCAACTAATAATAGGATTAATCAAATCCTACACTCATGGTCAAGTCTACACAAAAAATCCTACACTCATGGTTAAGTCTACACAAAATAGTCATCTTGCACTCTTCTCTAAATGACAACTAAAAATATGTTTATTTTTTAATATTATTTCTATATAATATGTTATCAAGAATAGTAGCAACACTTAACAAAAATAATCTGATAATTGTATACAGTGACGTGCAGGATCTCAACAAATGTCGTGTAGGAAATGGAAAAAAAAAAGGTGGATCCTATCTGACCCAAGCGTCCATTAATTTTATCTCACGTTGAGTCAAACGGTTTTTCGGATCGGTTCTTCTATAAACGGCGTTTTTTTCTTATCTTGAGTCGCACAATTTTCTCTAACCTTTTTCTAGAAATGGTGATTTTTTCTCGCATTAAGTTGGACGGTTTCCGTGAACAGTTTTAGAAACAACGGTTTTTTCTCACGTTGAGTCCGATTGTTTTCTCGATCCCAATTTTTTTTATAAATGGCGTTTTTTTTACGGTTAAACAGCAGGAGAGGTCCTACTGCGCTATATTAAAAAGGGAAAAGTATGTACAAGGAGAGCATGTACAAGGGAAAGAGAGCAAAAAGAGAGAAAAATAAAATTACAAATCATCCAAGTTTTTTTTTTTGAAAACTAAACATGCATTAATATAAACCGACAGAGTTCACGGGAATAAATCCCAGTACATTGCCAAATAGATAAAGAAAGAGCATAAAACCATCCGTTTCCAAAGAATGGAAACCTGGACTAAGGCTACAAACTTCATAATGAAACCACACAGCAGATAAGGTGCACATCGACAGGGAGCTGCGGCAATGCCGCGACGAATGCAACCTTGGGCCTCCTTCAGCGTGCAGCCCGCTTGACAGACCGGTAATCCCCATCCGGTTGACTCCACAAAGACAGCACAAAACGGAGGTCTGCTGCTGAGCCGTAGATTTTGGAGGAAGCAACACCGGACTCAGCAAGTGGTGTCCACGGAGTTCATCGTCCAAGTTAGCTATGGCTTTGTATCCATGATTGCCAGCTGGGTTCGTCTGCATTTTTCACTGTGTGCACATGCCGAGTAAATTCCTCTCTGAAATTTGACTTCCACCTGTTGAGATTGATGGGGACATTATTAAATATAAGATCATTTCTACTGCTCCAAATGTTCCAACAGCTTATTCCTATTACTTCCATGAAGAAAGATGCAAAAAGAGACTTCTTGCAGACATTATCATGTTCATGAATTCCATTGATAAGTCCCATGATATTCCAATATAGTTCCAACATTGCTGGGCAAAAGGACAAGAGAAGAACATATGAATGTAGTCTTATGTGATTGTTTAGTTACAAATAGAGCATACTACTCCTCCTTGAGTGTTATACTGTTTCCTTTGGAGAATATCTTTTGTGTTGAGCCTGTCCATAAGTAGTAGCCATAGAAAGACCTTTATTTTCAATGTGCATTTGCTTTTCCAAATCAAAGTGAGAGGAATGTCAGGTTGAATGTGAGAAAAGAAGAGTTCATACATTTTTCTGGATTGGTAAGTGTTTGGATTCCATATATAATTCCATTGGTCTCGATCATCAGATTGGTGTGCTAAATGAATGTGATTTTCCAAAGCTTGCCATTGTCTGAAAGCTTGTATAGAAAGAGGTGTATGAAAAAGATCATTTATATCATTTGATGAGATGAGCTTACTGTATGAAATATCTTTTTGTTTGGCATAGGAGAAGAGGAGGCTGTGAGATTCCTGAAGGGGTTGTCCATTCCAGTTATCTTTCCAAAACAGTGTCGTTGTTCCTGAGCCTATTGTAATTGATGTGATGGCTCTGAAGATAGGAATAAGTCTGAAAATATCTTTCCACCAAAATAAGCCTTTTTCTCTGTGAGCATGAGGAGGTTGGTCTGAATCTGCGTTAGTATTTATCCCAAATCAAATTAACCCACTGTAGATTCTGTCTATTAAAGGATTTGTCAAGGTTTTTTGCAAGTAGGGCAATGTTTTGGAATTCCAAGTTGACAATTCCTAGGCCTCCTTTGTTTTTTGGTTTGCATACTAGGTCACATGCTGCCATAGATTGAACTGAAGAGCTTGGATCAGTGGACTTCCTCCATAGGCAGTGTCTTCTTGCTCTGTCTATGTATTGAATTATCTTCTTTGGGAGTTTTAGCGTTGTTGGGAGTGCCGATAAGACTGAGTTAACCATTGTTAATCTTTGACCATGT